ACAGACCTGAGGCAACCAAAGAACATCCTTCTGGAAGTCATACTGACAAGGAGAACATGCTGACCAAGCTGCATGGGATGAGATGGGGCTGACAATGATGGGATGAACCAGGGGGCTCCAGGACAGAAGCTGGTGGGAATGCCTGGCAGATATACATAGCCACTGTCTCTGGAAAATGAGACAAGTGAGATGATCAATGAAGAGGTGGCCATGATTGATGGACTTCACAAAATGAGTGTCTGATGGATGGAGTGCTGTAGAAATGTACAGGGTGTGAGGATCCTCTCCAAATTTGGAAGGCAGAACTGCATGGCTGAGCACTTTAAGAGAGTGTGAGAACAAAGTCAATATCTTTGGACATGGTGGAGATATGATGAAAACCAGAATGCCATACATGGGTGCTAAAAACCTTTAATGTGCACTTAACTTGCTTCTTCTTTCTCTTTAGCACTGATGACTTGTTCTTGTGCAAAGGATGACTGTTAATGTCCAGCAGTCTTTCTATGCATGAGGCCTTTAGTCTTCATCTGCATGGCATGGGCATTGCACACAACTTGTTGACAAGTTAGGCAGAGTCAGCTGCAACCATGTCCACATGTCCACGACACCTTTGGTGTGTGACAGTACTCCCAATAGCATGCATCTATTTCCTGGGTGAGATGACAGAGCTTGTGTAGAGTCCATGGCTTGCCAACCTGACATACTTCATCTTTGATCCAGTCTGGAGTAGAAGTGGTGGCACAGCACACCTTCTCCATAGCCTTGGACTTGTGAAGCAAGCCCATTGAAGTCCACTACATATTTGTTGATGCACTGACTATCCTTCATGTGTAGATGGTCAAGTTGGCTCTCAGCATCAGCAACTGGGTCATGAGGGCTGAAGGTGGTTTATAGTTCCAGGATGAACTCCCTCCAGGAGTCCATCCAAAGGGGCTGGTCATTGGGGTCCTCAACCCCAAGTAGGTCTGGCTCAAACCATTCTAAGGCCATACCTTTGAGGTAGGATGGGGTGAAGATGACTTGTGCACAGTTGGTCCTAAAAGCCTGAGGCTGGTCTTGGAAGTTCAGCTTGCATTGAATAAAGAAAGCACAAAGCTTCTTGGGGTTGGTGCCATCGAAGGTATCAGGCTCATGCAACTTGGTCCTGCTCAAGGACTCAGGACTAGTGTGAGTGTTGCAGGCCAGTAGCTTGGTGGCCTTTGTGAGACTGTTGAAGACTGCAACTGTGGGTTCAGTGTCCAGGTCTGGGAAGTCCAGTTCATCCTCCAGATCATTCTCATCCAGATTATTGCCACCAGGCCCATCATCACCAGGACCATTGCTGGGGTTATCATCATCAGGGTTGTTATTGTCATTGTCATCTGGCCCTCCATTCCCAGAATCACCACTGGGGATGGGGGCAACAGGGTGATGTGGAGTAGGAGTGTTGGATGTTCAGGCAGAAAAGCCCCTGAAAGGGCTAACAGGGTCTGGGGATTGCCTCATGGTCCCCAAGGCAGCTAGTGCTGTCATGCAGCAAGTCTCCCTGGCTGAGGTGGAGTTGGGGTTGGTGGCAGAATGGCCATGGGGAGGTTGGAAACAGGTCTTGGTTGCCATGATGTATTAGACCCACACAAGTGGTGAGTCTGAAATACTGTCAAGTTTGTGAAGTCCAGGTTGAGTCTGGACCAGAGACTGAAGTGGGCATGAGGCTGAGGGGTTGGGATCAGGAGGAAAGACAGATACAGAGTGGTGGACTGATTGGACTTAGCGACTGAGGTTACAGCACTATTCTCTTGTGTGGGCTGCAGTCTGAGTCTGAAGCTGAGGATTACAGATAGAACTTATTTGATTTCAGACTGAGGGAATACAGGCCAAGTATCTATGGGCTTATATACTAGAAGTAGCTATAGTACAGAGACTGGTAATGCTGGTCTTGCAAAAGATTGCTAAGGTGATTGGTAAGACAAATATTAGTAAGGTATGATGAAGGTAATGGAGACTGGGACAGGGCAAACCAGGGACAAGACTGGGCAGAGCTTAACCAAAGTGACATGCACTGCAAAGCAGTGTTCATTGTGCTAGGACATCTGGAGATAAGAAATTGGTGAGGCCAAGGCTGGACTGAGCAAGTGTGAGGCTGAGTCTGGCCAGGGTCAAGACATGACTATGACAAATGGTTGATTTGTTGACCCTGACCATTGACAACATTGGCATATTTCTGAATATTTTCAATGCAGTAGTTTACCTGCTCCTCGATATGGCCATTGATATGGTCTGTGATTGGCACCTCAGGCAATGGCCATAAGCCCTGGGCCATCATCAACTATTTGCAGTGAAGAGAATAAGCAGCATACCTTAAAAAAATCCCAGGCCATAGAAAACAATCCCTTGCCTTGCAATCTTTGGGAATCTGCTGTGTATTCCTTGGAACAATATATCCACCAAGGGAATGCAAAGCCGAAATTGGGATCAGCTGCATGTGGGGTCCAATGTGGGACAATGGCGCTGATATTGTTGATTATGCAAAATGTGCTAAGGGGAATTAGCTGCTCAAGATATCTCACCATCATGGATGTCACAGATGTTCATTGCATTGTAGTGAATTGGTGTGAATGCGAGACTGCAGAAACCTGATACATACAGTTGCTCAGAGCCAAACTATTTCCCTCAATGTTCCAGAAGCCAAGCACCACATTCACATTTGTGGTTCTGGATGACTTCCTGAGGGACAACCTGGAATGTGGAATGTCTGGTATGAACTATTACAGCAAGTTGCATTGGATCACATCCAGTGTGTTTCCACACCTTGTTCCAGTAAGATTTGGTATTTTGGTTCCAAGTGTTGGAATGGATTCTGTGGGACAACCAGGTCAGCAGAGAAAGGCAGACTGGCATTATTTTGCACAGCATGCCCCCAGCCTGGAATAAATGTTGATACCAATGAGGATTTGGACCAGTAAGCAGCTCCAATAATGTAATCCTCATATGCTGACCTTCTCCAGCTGGCAGTTCACCTGCACAGTAGTAATGGATGGAAACTTTAAAGTGGAACACATGGATGAGTGGAAATCTGAAGATCAAGTGTGGTTGATGGACAGACTAGGTTATATGGTGACCAATCTGCACTATGCAGACTATTTGAAGGCCACTACACATATTGCAGAGGTATGAATTCATTCAACCCATGCAAAACATGATCTGAGCTCAGGCACAGAAATCCACCTGCAACAACCACAGAGCTATCAGTCAGGCAAATGCAGCCTGGGGAAAGCTTCATGTGACCAGAATTGGGGTGACTGCATGTGCATGGCATGGATGCTTTTATCCACATTGTGTTGTTGACTTCCAAAAAGGAGAAAGGTATGAGGTTGAATTGTCAATTTTGACACCCACTGATGGTGCTGCAGACAGTTGAACATGGACTACTCTTTGGCAAATCTGTTGGGATACAATATGGAAGGGATCAAACAAGTGGTTTGCTTCTATGACATTAACTGCTCCCACATGACAAATTTGTGGAAGCATGTGGGTCAAAGTGAGATGATTGATATCCTGTCATCACTTCAGTTTATCCCTGGAATCAGCATATGGCATGTGCATGGGCACAAGAAGGAATGTTATGCACAGTATGCCCTGCTGTTCATCAAGGGGGCTGGATGGGTAGATGGAGAAATCATTGAAACATTGTGGTCTGTCCTTAATGTGGCATCTGCATCTGCATGCAGGATGACCTCACCACACTGCCAAGAACTGCTGGATTTCCAGATGAATGATTCCAACTTCATGAAGATGATTCAGATTGGTTAGTTTGAGGATCCACTTGCAGTGCACTCTCTGACATCCAAGATTAAGTGGATAGCCTATTGCAGAAGCTCAAAGCAGCTTGAGCAGCAGTGCCATTGGCAAGGCAGGCATATATAAAGCTAGATGAAGCCTTGACTGCAGAGCAGTGAAACAGCTGGTGAATGCAAGAGACTCATGCACTGCATGATCGCATTGACAACCCATCTGTCATGGACATCATTGAAGTTCAATTAAGGGTGGGTATGGCATCTGCCTTTTTGGATAAATGCAAAATACTAACATATCACAAGAAGCACCAACAGTGTGTGCCATTGAACTAGCATTATTGGAGGAACCAAGACCCAGCAGAAGCCTGCATGGAGCAGCTAGTTGGCTAGCACACAGTTTATGCTTAGAAGAGGCCATAACCTCACTTCAAATGGACAGAAAGGATGTTGGGGAACAGGCATCTGAATTGAAAAAATTGGCTATGGCATGCTGTGCTGATCACATTGCATCCAAACAACCAGGTTTTATTGTGGATGCTGCAATTTACTTGAAGCTGCACCTTGAAGCAGGCTCCAACACTTCCACCAGCAAATCCATACAGCAGACTGCATTTCTTGATGCAAATTCAGAGCAGGATTATGCTTTGGATGATGGTTGGCTGGACAATGTGGGGGATGAGTTGCCCACTTCAGATGGAACCCTGAAAAAAAACAAGACCAGATACTGCATTCTGTACAAAGATCTGATGTTGTCAAGGAAAAAAGTCAGCAGGTAAGTGCATGATGAATTGGATACACAGGTGAAAGGGTATGCTCAACTTCCCAATACTCATCTGACTTGAATGTGTTCCATTGCAACCTTGACTGGCCAGCAATGCATCCATTGTATCTGCAGGTGTAAAGCATCACCAACACTCATTCTGTTTCCTGACACCTTACTGTATGCCTGTAAACTCATGTCAGCAGTGTATCCACCTCAAGTATCTTCAGTGCTCTTGCATCCTCACAGTCTCCATTTGTCCAGTATCTGTTTAAATTAGTAGCTTCTGTTCTCACATTGTATGAAATTCACCTTGTGCCTCATTCATGAATTCCCCTCACTGACAGTCGACTGTTGTCTCTTGCAAGGCATGAGTTTTGATTCCCCCTCCATGCTCAGCAACTTCAACTCAAAATCTCCTCTTCCACACTCAGCAACTTCAAATCTGCCCCTTCCCTGCCCTACCCATGTCCCCCAATGCATTCAAAATTCCCAACAGTGCTTCGACACCCGTTGATGTGCCTGAGACTGCTGAGGCAGTGACAGATGTGTTCAGTGATTTGTACAGCTTTGTGGTATGTCTTCCTTTCTGCTTGTGTACTAGTCTGTTGATATTGACTCACCACTAGAATTTTTCTCCCAACAGTTCACCCCCCAAATGGGCCACTCCTGCTGCCATCACTACACCCTCCACAATAGACCCCACTTTACTCTCCCTCAATGCTTATCCCCCTCCTGATATCCCAGCCAATGATGTTCCCATCACTGAGATGATTAGGCATGATGCAGATGTCAACTTCCATTCAATTCTGACTTTCCACAACACCCTACAAGCCATCATCTACACACTGGACTGTTTCCTTGCTGAACAAGTTGTGTCCAAGAAGCTCTTGAAAAACAGAAGAGGGAGGACTAGAGAAGGGAAGAGGAGCTGAATCATGGTTTCTTTGCCTTTGAGGCTTCAACAGCCTTGTAGACCTATATACATCCCTTTGCCCTGTAGTTTCAACACTTCATTGGTCAGAGCATATATCTGTAGTCATACATAAAAAAAACAAGACCATTGTCCACTCTGGCAGCCTGCTGTCCAGCATCTGGTAGATTGAGTTTCATGTGGTGGGCATAATGAGTAGTGAAACAGACCTCACCATATTCCCCTGATGACCTCCTGCATCAGTGCACCTACTACTTACTGCTTTGCTCCACAGCAGGGGGGAAAAGAGTTGGGCATGCATCTGATGTGATCTGTTCCAGAGTGGTTGCCAATGGTATTAATTGTGACTTACTATTTCTCAATGCTGGCTTCAATCTGTCGCCCAAGTACCTTTGAGCAACTACTGAGCATGTTGCAAGTCTTCAGTTTCCTTGCTAGGATGGTTGATGGCTTGCAAAGGACAAGACAGTGATGGGTCAGAACAGACATCTGCAATGTGCTCAAAATTCTCTGGTTGGAAATTTGTCATCATGTTCAGTGTCAGGTGCTAGAACAGCCCCTCAGATGATTGAGCACAATGGTATGAAGATGGACACAGCCTGCAGAACTGTCTTGACATGTTTGAGTCTGAGATCACAATCAATAGTGCAGGCCAGTTCAATCCTTGTTGCGAAGGGTTGTGCCAAGATAAATTCCATGTTTCCTATGTCTGGAATGACACAGGAAAACATGCAGATGAGATGAATGAAGGCAGTTTCTGTCTTGGTGTATTGAATAAGCACACAGTCATAGCAGGGCACACCAAAAAATGACAGGTTGCAGCAGAGATGATCTGTGCACTGGTTCCAAGTGACAGTTGACTTGTAGTTGACCAGCAGATAACAGTATTCTTTAACCTTAGCACAAGCACAGTTTCAACTAGATGAATGCATAATGAGAGTGTAGATACATACCATGAAGTCAGCAGGGAGGGAGATCCATGACTTGACTTGATATCCATATGCCAGAAGGGCATCATTAAGGAACTTGCAGAACCTTTGATGGAACTGATGGAATGCCATATCTGGCTGACCATTTTCCTCCAAGTCTTTCAGGGTTTGGGTTGCAATGACATGTGCACCAAGCTTAATATGATCAACTGAGGTATGCTCACTGACCACATCAACTTCTGGATCTGATTCCCCAGAGATGGATTTCTTGAGGTGATCAACACACAATCTGAGAAGCTTCATAGCAAGAACCTGATGATCTACCCACAAGACCTAACATGCATTTTAGAGTGACTGTGAGTAGGAGTGTTGGCACACATGGTTGTCATACCTGAGCAGGAATGTCTCTACCATTTGAACAGTGTTCATATGCATCTTGGATTGGCTTATGCATACTTCTGTTGGGCTGAGTGCTATAGCTGCATGTGGCACCCTTTAGGCAGATATCTCGAACAATGTGCTTCCAGAGGTGGACCTTTGGGAAATTCCAGTCAGTTTGCAGACCATCAATGTTGGACTTCATGATGCATTTGGTGTAGTCCTGAAAATGACACATTACAACAAATTGGCATGAGCATGAAGCATATAACTACCTTCAGTGTCTGATCAAATGTCAATATTTTGTTGTTGATCATGTTAACCATACATTGGGTCTGGACATCTAAGCTGACAAGGCTATCAAGCTGTAGGTAGCTTCAGATGACTCAGAGGAGCTGGTACCCTTCAGGGGTTATACTCTTCTTCAAAACATTGATCCCCATGTAGAAGATTTGCTAGGAAAACAGTTCATTGACAGCCATCTGGTATTGGACACATGTACCTTGGAGATATCGGCCAGCTTGTTACCATCTGAAAAAGTGACATAAATAACTTGGTTGAAGTGTGCAAGGTTTTGTCAGCAAGGAAAACTTGCAACACTGTCATTGTCAAATGTGAGAAGTGACAATGTTCAGAGCAATTGATTGTAAAACAGTGACTCACTACTTCTCAACATCAGCTTCAATCTGTTGCCCAAGCACCTTTACAATCACCTTTAGGTCCCAAAAGATGTGCTTGCCCCAAAACCCATGCCCATAATGCAGTTGATCAAAGCTGCAGGTGAGGTGGAGATCAGAAAACCCAATCAGCCAGAACACATTCTGCATCCCATTATATATTAGTTCACTGATGGTGATTTGTTGGTGGAAACATACTTCAATCAGTCATAAACCTAACCACTTCAACAATTCATTACCTTCAGCTCGATTTGTAGCACAAACACATAATGCATCGATGCCCTGGGCATGCATACAAGGTTCAAAAGTCCTAGAGAGGTCATGGAGTAGCTCTGATGGTACAAGATGTACAGGGCAAGGGCATTTGCCACTGTGACCATGAGTGAGTGCCATCATGCATCTGTAGTAGGCCATTGAGTTAGTATTGTTAGTCCAAGCAAGAAGAAGGAAGTATATTACATCTCTTCAAAATCAGTGGACAGCATCATAAGACTTGGAAAGAGCCAATGGGTAATGTTGTTGTGTGAAGATGTATGTACATACCCAGTCTTTGAGTACTGCTCAATCTCCAGAAGTAACTTTTTAAAAGATTCATGCCAAATGACACACTTGAGGGTTGTGTAGCCTAGCTTTCCCTCTTCTTTGGCATCTTTGGGGACCTGAAATGTTCTTAGCCTATATGAATATCTAAACAGTGGACATCATTCACAATAGGCAGCAAGCCAACAACAGTACCTCTTCCAATGACATTGCTATTCTGAATCTCAACTGGCAAGTTTGCACAGCACACAATGACAGGGTAACTCTTGGCAGTGCTGAAAGACAATAGGTTGGATTTGTCAGCATAAAGGATCAGGCCAAATGGCATGGCATTCTTGATATCTGGTAGACTCAACTAGCACAAATACAACATGTTATGTACAGGTAATGAATGACATATCAACCAGGTGCATACTTGAATATCCCACCAATAATCTCCAGTCCAGGGCTCATTGTAAAAATGTTCATACTCAATGCCATTGTGCCTGTAAAGTTGCTGTGCATCCCAGGTGAAGTGTGGGCTGAGGAATGGATTTTCTAAGATATCAAGTGCCCACTCCCACAGTGGGTGAATATGTGCTTCAAACATACATTCTTCCTTTTTGTATGGTACCTTAACTTCGACCCTGGAGAACTATTTAGATAGGTAGGATGGATGGCAATGAATGGATATTTGAAAATCATACCAGAGTGAGTTCCATCACAGCTGCATCACATGCTTTGTGAAGTTTGGCATCATTCTTGAGCATGACTTGGATGGCTCCCTGTGTGACATGAGCAAAGAGATCCAGCAGGGCATTGACTTGTTGCTGGTTGAGTAGTGAAGTGAGTGTGATTTCTGCAAACTTGAAGTCACCCAACATGTGAAATGGGGACCAAGGTGTTTTGTCAACCAGGAATGGGGACTTCTCACTGCAAACATGGAACTCTTTGTAAGACTGATAAATTGGTGGTCAATTGCTTCTTGGATGAAATCGGATCTTGAATTCAGGAAGTTTTGCCACATTAGAACTTGTGGCAGTTGGCATCAACATGTCTGAGGGAATTATGAGCACTATGAGAATGTGTGCTGAAGTGAATACATACCTGAGGCTTGGAGCATGTTGCTCATCTCATTGTAATCTTGTCCCATAGTCACCTCAACTGCAGCCACAGCTTGTCTGATACTAGGACCACAACATAAATGAAAATCAGACTCACTGGGTTCATCAATGAAAAAATATCCTGTATCCATATGGTGAGCTTCAGGCACTTGAGGCTGCAATTTGAGTACCAATGCTCTTGCAGCTCAATGGTGGGCAGCTGAGTTAATAATTGAAGCCAGAAACCATTACATTGGGTCTGCCTGTGCTATGCACCAATTCATGTACCTCACTCTTTCTCTTCATACTGATGTTTGAAAGCTACATGCTCCCTCTCATCTTCTTTGCACTTCCTGCAACTCACCTCATGCTGCTTGAAACTGGTTTTCTGAAATTTCCTGTTACAGTGAGGGCATTGATGGAGAATGGCATGATTCTGTTCAGCATTTTGATGGGTCAAAGCTGAATGGGTGGTATGGGAGGGAGCCATGAGAGAAGATGTATCATAGCTGACTGATAGTTGTCAGACATGCTGCATGCACCATGTTCAGCTGATGTAAGACAATGTCACACCATATCAGTCATTATCAGATCATTATCACTTGGTAACTTGGGTAACTCCCATCCAATGAAATTTCTTCCCTTGGAACTGCCCCCAAGCCATTGACATGTCATTACCAGACCATTTTAATGACCCTAATAAGGAAATATGCAAGCATTGTCAGCCAGTGGCATTATTATGCACCTCAAAAATTTGCAACAGAATGGATGGCTCAGTCACTTCCACATATCTCTCAGCAGCTTCTGCATTGCAGGTTTTTCCAACCTGATTTTTCCTGAAATTGACTGCAGAAAGATGAAAACTTCCATTGCACCATTATGATGGACTTACTTGGGTGACAATAGGCCTGTGAGATTACTGACAATATGTGATCTGCTTCACATAACACTGGAAACAGAATTGATATATCTGGAAGGGTGCAAGGTCTGCTGAGTACCTCCTCTTGAAATCTGGCTTTCATGTATGACACAATGCAGTCTGTTAGTTCCATTCACCATCCATGGGGGGTTTTAGATGTGTCTTGCATAGTATTCATGCTTGGGGTGGATGAGGTCAGAGTTGTATAGCAGGCAAGCCACTTGCAGCTTGTTGGAAAATTATGGCATGTTTGGATGCTTGCCTCAATATTTTACTGTGATCTGATCAATATGTTGTGACACTATATATGCTATTGGTGTTGGGCCCATCTTATGTTGTGATGCTATAAATGATATTACTGATGGGCCCATCTTTATGTTGTGACAGGGGTGCATCTTACTGGATGGGCCTGTCTATGTGTTGTGACACTTTACATGATATTACTGACAGGCCTGTCTTTATGTTGTGACAGGGGTGCATCTTACTGGACAGGCCCATCTATGTGTTGTGACACTGCAAATGATATTACTGATGGGCCCATCTTTATGTTGTGACAGGCATACATGTTGCTATTGATGGGCCCATCCTTATGTTGGGACAGGGGTGTACCTTACTAGACAGGCCCATCTATATGTTGTGACACTGTAAATGATATTACTGATGGGCCCATCTTTACATTGCAACAGGCATATGTGTTGCTATTGATGGGCCTGTCCATGTGTTGTGACCATGTAATTGATATTGCTGAAAGGCCCATCTTTATGTTGTGACATGGGTGCATCTTACTAGACAGGCCTGTCCATGTGTTGTGACCCTGTAAATGATATATATTGAAGGGCCCATCTTTATGTTGCAACAGGTACATCTTACTATGGATGGGCCCACCCATGTGTTGTGATGGTATAAATGGTATTATGGAAGGGCCCATCCATATGTTGTGACACTATAAATGACATTACTGATGGGCCCATCTTTATGTTGTGTGGCAGGGATGCATCTTACTAGACAGGCCTGTCTATGTGTTGTGATGCTGTCAATGATATTACTGACAGGCCCATCCTTATGTTGTGACAGGGGTATATTATCCCAAAGACAGGCCCTTCCATATGTTGCCAACTCTGTAATCTATCATAGAGGGGCCCCTCTTTATGTTGTGACCCTATAAAGCATATGATGGGCAGGCCCATCCATATGTTGCAACCTTCTTCATGATACAATAGGTGGGCCTGTCCTGATATTGTGACTGGGGTGCACCCTACCATGGATGGGCCTGTCCATGTCTTACAGTAGCTCAGCATATGTACTTGGTCATGGGCCCATCTATATGTTGCAGCATCCTTACCCTCCACAGGCCCTCCCATATGTTGTGGAATTGTGCTTATGGGCCCATTGTGGGGTCTATATAAGTGTTGGCATTTTGGCACACAGGCTACCTATATGTTGTGACTAAATGGACTACATGGGGTCAAGGGGGAGGGGCTCATTGTCATAGATGGATATGTCCATGTTCAAGATTCCATGGTGGAAGGTCTGAGCCACTTCACAGTGTTGAACAAGATCTAACATATCAAGATATACTGTCCAAGCGGTGTCACACCCAACAGGTGGGCTTCACAGATCAGCATAACACACTTCCAGGAATGTATTGAAAGTTGGAGGGACAAGATCAAAAACAGGGTGAGTTGGATTGATATACAGCTTGCATATGTGTTCTATGGCTGCATGATCAACAGTTACCTGTATGAAGTTAGTATGTAGGCCACTAGTAGACATGAAGAATACAACCACACCTTGAAATCCAGTGCCCCATAGTCTTCCAGTGACATGTGAATGAGTTCAGGCACACTGTGCAGAAGTATCTTGTTCCAATCACAGTGCTTTGAGGTGTTGTTCATGTGATATTTGTATGCATCAAGCTCAGACTGGAGCCATGGAATGAAAACCCAGTAAAAGATCAACCTGCCAGTGAAATGGCCATTAGAACAGCATGTTAGTGCATAGGAAAGGAAATACTGCTGTAACATGTTATTAGTATCATACCAGCCTTCTTCCACCCCACAGTCCAGAACAGTCTCAAAGCCTGGCATGAAGTGCTGCCAAAGTTGAGACCATGCAATTTCTGGCATCATGTTCTTCTTCTGCCACATCCACTGGTGCTGGATAGTACCCACTAAGCCTTCATCATGCCACTGGCGAAGCATTGTTTACACATTTGCAATTCAAAAATTTTCAGTTCCAGGATCACTTTGCATGACAAGGGGAATAACTGTGAAGGAAGTAAGATAATAGTGGGATGCAACACAGACTCATGACCTACAGCCTGCTGTGCTGATGACATCAAGAAAATAGCTAAGGATTAATTGCAGGTTTTGGTTTGAATGCCATATCTGCATCCAGAGAACTTTTCCAGAAAATGGTTCAATACCTGTATGGAGTGCAAGGCCAAATCACTGCCATTTGTCATGTTGGTCAACTGCCCATAGATCATTAACTCCAGCAGCCCAAAAGCAGCACTGATGAAGGTGCTGTGCTTTCCACCACGGAATAAGATGGGGTTTGTAGGTATTGAAGTACTGCCCAATAACACAGCTGTCATGTGGTATTGAGCAACCACTTGGGTGCAGTGAATAGATACCTTACTGTGCAACAGACATTCCTCATGAAATAATAAACTGGCCATTTCTCAGACACCAGCATTTGGGTACACTTGGTAGAGCTCAATCATTGCATCATGAATCAAGTCTATAGTGTGAGCTTGCTGGCATGTGCAGAGTAGTCCCATGCCCTTCCAGATTTCCTTGAACTTTGTCAATCTATCTGTTCCTGCTAGAGATCCACATGGGTTAGACATGGTTTATGTCTTGCCAGAATACAATCTCCTTGGAATTGCAGCACTCAGTACTGAAGTTTACTGTCAGACTTTGTGCTCATCTCAACCCAATCACCCATCATGGAGCCATTGTCTTACATTCTCTGGACATTCTACTCCTCGGACATCCAGCCTCATGTGTGTATAGATTTTCTCAACCCAGTCACCCATCATGCTTACATTCTCTGGACACTGACAGAGCTTCAATAGTACAGCATTCATGCAATGATTTGCCCATCTCTTGCATGTGTTCACAGGGCTCAATTATTGTCAAAGGAGTGGCAAATCAAAATGCAGCAGGGGTACAGTTTGTACGAGCAGGGGGCCTCATATTTAGTCTTGTCATGGTGAGTTGAGCAGATGGTGTCAGATCACATATCTCAACCTATGTCAAAGTCTAATAGATTCAAGATCATGTCTCAATTCACTGAAGATGCTATTGCCAACAGTGACATGCACTGTGAATGCCCATCCTGTGGAATCTTTATCCCCAAGGGTGCACCATGTCATTATATTGCCACAATAGATCCAGCCAAGGCAGGGCAGCATGTATGTACATCAGGAAATTAACACTTTACTATTTTTGACCTTTTTGTGACTTTTTTTTGACTTTTTTGAGACTATTTGTGACTTTTTGGCAAGGAACCTTCTATCTGTACTTTTTTTTTGACCATATACAGCATTTTGAAGAATAAAAAGAGAACAGAAACTATTGAGACAACTAAGTGATGATATATCTAAGCCAAGAAGACTAGAAAATGTCTGAAAATTCAGAGATATTGAACCATTGGTGTGATGCACACTGTCTGGGAGAAAAATCACAATATATCTTTGGAACCTCCATCAATTTGAATGTATGTGGTATCTACTGAAAGCTATGAATTAGGTTGTTTGAACAAGACCAAAATCAGCAAGAAAAGTGCAGCCATGCCTGCAGGACATGGGTAATGATAGTAGATTCCTTCCCAAAAAGTCACATTAGTCACAAAAAGTCAAAAATAGTAAAGTGTTATTTTCCTGATGTAAGTCCTGCCTTGCATGGCGGTATAGCCAGAAACTAGCTACAGGTATATGGACACAAGGTGTGCATTTAAGCATCTTGCATCATTCCATTAGGCTAACTCTTCTCTACAGCTGCCACCCCTGCAGTGCCAAATTGTGGTCTGTTACTATCTGATCCACAAGTTATACAACAGTCTGTGACTGCAGCACAGAGAGGCAGTAAGTGTAACTTCCTGTCAAGGATAATTCATTGACAGTATTGCAACAGCCGCTATTAGTCCACCACAAGTGCTTTCTCTGCCACATCCAACACCACAAGGGAATCCCATGTCTCTGCAATCCATCATCCAATCCGTTGTTCAACAGTATGGTGATGCTAGCTCTCTGAGTCAGCAACAGATGGGTCCAAATGTTTGTGTCCCATCTGCGAGGCAGAGTCCCGCACACTTACCTGTTCAGCCGCATGCGTCCGTGTCTGGATATACACCTCAGCATGCCTTGCACGCCTCAGAGCGTGAGCGGTGGGCACGTTTGTCTTACTGTTCTCCTCCCGTGGAGACAATCATGCTAGATATCTCAGCATTATATGAAGGAGGGACAAGGAAGGGTCATCTTCATGGTACACACTTTGGAGTATGTACCTTCTGTTCACTTTTGCATCTATCGTACTTATGATGTCAGAACATATGTGAAGGGAAAAGGGACATCGACGCTCGCATCACCGCTCCCGAACTTGTGACCCTCGCACTTACCACCATTATTCCCAAAGTCATCGCCTTCTGTCCAGACTTTCCATGGAGGTTTCAAGAGTTTATCATTCGTGATGCATCATGGGTGGATCTCTCTACTCATCCTGAACTGCACTGGCCCTATTTCTACTCTAGTTGTATTCAAGCAAACCGGAAGAATGCGAAGACACCTGTCTTCAAGACCAAGCAATTTTCCCTTTACATTGTTATTCCTGCATCGCAGTGGAAAGAATACGAAGAGCATGTGGAGGCAATCATCTCCTCGGCTCTCGACAAACCTGCCATAGAGTGTGGTGTGACTCAGATCCAGAGTCAAGATGTATCCTCTAGCAGGGCCACGATGGCCTATGAACTACCCACGCCCGTATCGCGAGATCACAGCCAAGATTCGTTCACAACCAGTTTTGCTAATCAACCTCTCTACCTTGGTGTCATCGCTGCCAATGGATCAGCAGTCGGTCAATGCAGAGAACCTTTGTTCATTTCGACCACTGGACTTTCTGCACCGGGAAAGCGTTCCCACCAGCATTCCAACAGCATATCATCTCCGACATCTCTGCCTAGGAAGAAGCAGCTGGCCAGGCCTCTGTCCCCTGACCATGATCATGTGATAAAAGCACTTTTATCTGGTGGCTCAGCAGATGTCGATGTCAAGAAAGGTGGGCATGTAGGGCCAATTGCCATCAACAACTAACATATGTTTACCGTCTTGAAACTGAAACTTGAGTCCGTTGTGTTTTATCCTATCCCCACGCTGCCTTTTGTAGAGATCTTGGAGAACCCCAACAAGCATTCATTCAAAGTCGACCCACTATCCTCGCACCCCGGCCAGTTGATATTTGATACTTCTTCCGATTCTCTTGTAGGGGCTGGAGGATTTAAGACGGCTTAGTCAGCGCAGCTCGTGCTCACCCCTCCAGCGCCATCGGGCCTAGGTTCGCTGCCACGCCACGATGTTATCATGAAACGCCCTTATCATAAATCGGGCAACACGCCTGGTAATGGTGACACAGTTCGCTTTAACCGCTATGTCTTCTGTGAAGAGATCGAGAAGCCAATGTTCTTTACTGGGAAAAGTCGCTGATGCAGATGACCTACGACTTCATTGATCACGCCATTGCAGTATCGTCGGTTCCCCCACCCTTTGAAATTCCTCGCCTTCAATTTGTAGATGCTGGCCTTGCACTTGCATACACCCAAGCTCTGCCCGAGAACAAAAATGTGTCTACAAGCTCAACTAGGGCGACAGGTGCATACCTTCTTGAAGAGTGGATTACCGATGATGGGGGGGAATTCACGAAGTTCATTCATAAGGTCAGTTGTACTCCCCTCATTGATCCCGATGAAGAAAGCTACGACATCGCCGAGTTTCTGGTTTTTGCTCAGCATGTCCAGTTTGTCAGAACGAAGGGGCTTGCTTATATAGCTGACTACTAAGGTATTGTATTCTTTTTATCTATGTCCTTGTTTCATTCGACGTTTACTCCGTTACACAGGGAGTAAATCCTTGTTGACAGATCCCCAAATTTTGACACATCCGTAAGTTCTATTGCCCGACAGCGACCCAGATTCCTATTACTTACTAATTCCCTTCGCAGCAAGGTGGGCAAAGGCCAAGATCTTTTTGGCGAAGGGAATATAGAAAAGGGAGTGGAGCGGTTTGAAAATGATCATGTGTGCAATTCATTCTGCAAGTTGCCTGCCTTCGGATTGAAGCCGTTTGGGGGAGTTGAACCGAGCACTTCTACTGCCTAATTTTCTTGTAGCGAGCTCTATATCTTGAACGCATGTGTCCTGTCACTGTACTATATGTCTGGTCCCCAGTCCCATCCCCATACCTGACTCTGAATGAACTGAATGAATACCTTTGTGTGGGTTGTTATTGGTGAGAATGCCTGTCCTTGTACTCCACCAACTATACTCTCAATCCATACCAATATCAAAGATTATTTTTTGATACAGAAGGGAGTCACTTGTGTGATATTCCTTGATGGTCATGTTGAGGAGCAATGGCAAGAAACCTTGAATTTCCACTCCTGTGCAGATGAACTCAAGAATAAGGGTGGACTTGGCACACACTTGAGACTTAGATGCCCTTTCACAAATCCCCAAGATGATGACTGGCTTATCCAACATGGGAATTCTCTTCCCAAGTACTGTGCATGTGAATGGCTTGGACTCATGTCAGCTCTATTCAGATTGTGAATGATGAATAACTCACAAAGTACAGATGTAGCTCTTTGCACTTTGCACCACCCTCTTCGAGTTCATGGCAACTGGTGTCACACACCAAAGGTGTTTGGTGAGGTGGACATGGATACAGCTGATGAGTGGAGGTGGAAACCATAGCCCTCATGCAAAGAAGGACAGCCAGAAATGTCAGCAGTCATCCCTCACACAAGAACAAGTCATCAGTGCCAAAGAAAAAAAAGGGAGCAAGTTAAGCACTGGTTAAAATTCTTAAGTGCCCATGTATGGCATTCCAGTTTTCAACATATCTCTGCTGTTTCTGCAGATACCAAGACCATTCCCATACTTGCTTGTAGTGCTCGGCCACATGATCTTACCTTCCAAAATTGGAAAGCATTTGCACACTCCACATGTTTCTACAGCACTCTTGTCCCCTTTGCTAGGGACCATGGCTACATATATCTTCCAGGAGTTCCTACCAGCTTCCATCCTGAAGCATCCTGGTACATCCCACCCTTGTCTGTGCCCTCTCAGCTCATCCAGCTTGGACAGCATGTTCTTTTTGTCAGTATGACCTCTAGGAGGACATTCTTTGGTCACCTCAGGTCTGTCATTCACTTGGAAAGGTCTTATGTGGTCGTTTCAGTCTCTCCAGTCCAAGAAGCATATGGATCCTTCCTCCCTACTCCCTGCAATGTCTTCATACCAGTCTCGTCCATCATTCTTCCAAGATTGTGACAGCTACAGTATAATCTACTGTTCTCCACTCTCCCTGATCACATCCATGACAAGTATGATGCACATCTTGCCTCCTTGTTGCAAGATACAGCAGAAGACACTCCCCCTTCATCCTCTCTTCCAACAGAGCCTCATTCATGAAGTTTTTGTCTGCTTCACTGAGAGGATGGTTTGGGGGGGAAAGTTGCAATCCCCTATGCTCCTGTCACCCCACAGACCCCCAAAGCTTGACCCCTGTTGACATCTGACTCACCCTGTCCACTTTTGGATGTACTATATCAGCATCAGATTGGCACTGCCTCTCTGTCATCCCACCTTGGCCTAGAAGTGATCTCTTTGAGATGTGACATGCACAGCCTCCCCCTAATGCAATTCCAGTGCACTTTCTCAGTTCCTGACATTACTTGATTCATACTTTGATGTTCTGACTGTCTCTGACTCACCTATTGCCAATACTTACCAATCTTTTGACTTTGCTTACTGATTCTTCACCTTTTGGCTTGCTAATCCTTACCAATGCTTTCCAAGATGATTACCCATCGCTTACATTCCTTACTCATCAGTTACCAATCACTTACCAAGTGTTTGCACCTTGTTTTCCAAGGGCAACACCCCTGTACTGTATATAAATCACTGTACTTAGATAGCAAAAAAAAAAAAAAAAAAGAGAAGACATCAGAGAGCCCCTCTTGCTCGCATTTTATCATCACTCAGTAATTCATTCAGCAGCTTTGATAGTTGAGACTTTATTAAGGGTCTAACTATCGTCTACTTCGCTTATCCTTGTCTATCATCAATATACTTCACTCCAAGCCCTCCCTGAGCTCAGTGCAGCTTAGAACATCAAATTAAGTTGCCATCCATCCTTCTGTAGGCTGACAGCAGTCTACCCTATCACTTTCTATCACATTCTTGCTACCTCTTCATCAGGAGCACCCCCAACCCTCAGCACTTGTCCTTGAGTGTTGTAGCTTGCAAAAACCCACCCAGGTCAAAGGTTCTACCATCTAGGTACTGCATAGGCACACCACCACTTGCTCTTTTTGTCTTTTGTGTTGGTTTTGGTTGGTTTTCACCACTGAGCCCCACTTTGACTCACACTGGGACACTGGAAGTCTATGTCCTTGGCATGGGCCTTGTCTGTGAGCCACTGCACTAATCCTAAGCAGGGGTCACACATGACACAAGGGCAGGAATAGCACTCAAATAAGTATTTAGCTCTATTGTGGCAAAGGTAGCAATACTACTTATCATGTTAGCAGTGATAGGAGGATGGACCTACAGTACATACCTGGTTATGCCACTCCTCAGCCAGAGGGGACTGTCCCTGAGAGGATGGAACAGATGTCAACAAACTCAGTGTTGAAGCCTTTGAGGTGGACTGCATGGATGCACATTGGATGGGGGTTGCATGAACAGTGTGAATGATTTGCACTTGTGGCACAATACTGGATGTGGTTTTCTTCACATTCTGCCTTGTTCTGGCAATGGATAGTTCCTCAACGAAATATTGACACATGAGGTGCTAACTTGCAACAAGAAAATTGTGTTGTTGATGTGAAAACAGGTCCACACAACATAACTGACCACATTATGTCATGCATGTTCAAATCTCAGAAGCTTCTAATACTAACTCTGCAGGATCGTTGAAACTGCTGGCTGACATCTGTTGCCCATTTCACTGAGCCTTACTTGTGATGCTGTTGGCTGACATCTGTCGCCCATATCATGGAGTAAGTGTTCACAATTTCTCAGCTCATTGAAACAGTTGGCCTACATCTGTTGCCTGTTTCTGTGAGCTGGTGCTCATGCACTCAGACCTCCTTGACCTGCTCATGAAACTGCTGGCTGACATCTGTCACCCATTTCACTGAGCCTTACTTGTGATACCATTGGCCGACATCTGTCACCCATATCATGTAGTAGGTCTTCATGGTTTTCACACTCAAGGCAACAGACATGGAGACAGTTGGTATATGGTCACAAAATCAACTTGTGATTGTTTTTTTTTGACAGGCAGGCCTGTACACTGACCTTTGGTTGTACAGTCAAGACATATGGCAAGGAAAACCTCATTGAACCCCTTCCAGTGTCTCCTGATCAGGTCGCTTCTTCATGCTACACCTCAGTACATTCCTAATTGCACTCTTGATCAGCTGCTTCATTCATTCTGGATGATAGGGAACAACAAACTTGCCAAAAGGTGGAATACTGTGCATGACACCAGTGGTTCCTAACTTATCTTTTCACAGGAGCAATCATCACCTATATGAATCTCATGAGCATGGTGTATGCTAACACCTTCAGTACCAGCTTTCCCCTGGGCTGCTGTCTCATGTCATACTTGCCACTGGTGCACATTTATGAGGTTCATGGGATTCTATTTAAGTCTAATAACATGTCTCCATGATTTGAGTGTGCAGCAGATTTGCAAATTGACAGTAATCACTGTGGGTGGATGTATTGGGTACTCCACTGGCAACCACATGCACTTGATGGATGACACCCAAGCCTTGAAACCTCACTTTTTCCCATCAGTACCATGAGTGCTGATTAGGGTATACCAAGCTGCCATGTCTGCTGGTAGTGTGCTGGGTGTGAAGGGTGCTATTTTCCGAAAAGCAGTGCAGATGAAACTAGATCAACTTCACAAGACCAGGGTAACTGCCCACATCATATGGGATGCATTGGTGTTCCACAATGTTCATGGCAGGCTTCTTGATGCAGTACTCAATTGGCTCACTCTGCTTGGCTTCCAGATTTGCACTGCACTTGGAGGGAACATTTTGCTGATGGTCACCAGTTCTGCTCCCATTAGCAGAAAAGTGGTTGATTTCCTCAGATTGCTTTTGGTTGTGGTGTTACAGAAGGTGTGATGAACTTACTTCTTTTCCTTCCCTCACTAATTTTCATCCAGGGTAAGCAAGGTCATGGGATTGCTTGATTATGTTCCATTAATGACTCCAGGCAGTTATGGCATGACAGAGAATTGTGGAGTTTGCACACACACTTTGCAGGGAGACCCAACTGGTGGTGGGACAATTGGCCCGCCTCAACCAATTCTCGAAGTCAAACTCATCGACCTTCCAGTGATGAATTACCTGTCTAACAATAAGCTGAACCCACATGGAGAGTTATGTGTCCATGGCCCGAACTGCTTCATGGGATATTATAAAGGTACATCTCCTCTTTGCCATTTTCTAAGGCCTGTGAGAAGAAATGGTGTCCATCAGATGAGAAGACTACCCAGGAGACACTGAAGGATGGCTGGATACACACCAGGGATGTTGCAGAAGTTGATAGTTCTGGATGCTTCAAGATCATTGATCAAGTGAAGGTGTGTTGTCTTTTTTGGCCCACCCCTGGTGTGGATAAGTAATCCATACACACCAGAACATTATGAAATTGGTGCAAGGTGAGTACCACCAAACACACCACTTTCACTATCCTTTGTCCCAGCCTCCCCTCCCCAAGGACCTGTAACATTGGGCTCAACAATGTTGGCTCTTGGCACCATCTTGGCATCTGTCCACCTGCACCCTCTCCTGGTCAGCCCCTCCTGCAGCTGCCACCATTGCCCTTACCTTCTACCCCATCATGAAGAGTTCTCAACCCATCTCCAGCTCTGCCAATGGCCACAATGCAGGCTCCATCACCACCAGGACAGCTTTGTGTGATAATGTTGATGACCTGTAGGAGTCACCTTCTTGGGTGGAGACATCATTGACTATTGTGGGTGCAGGTCTGTTGTGACATCCTTCAGGTAGCTTTTTGGATCTGGAGTGCACTGAGTCAGGGCTTGCACCTGGAAAGGGATCACATCTCTCCCCATTATGTATATATGTATCAATATCCTGCACGTTGCTGCACCACAAATTCCCATGTATATGGTATTATATTGAATCAACTACTTCTCTCACAAAATGAAGTCATCATTGTCACCATGTTCATCATGTAAATATCCTTCCATCATATCATCTGTGAAGGTTGTCATCACTGTCCCAGGTGCCCTGTCAATGATACCCCATCTCCCTCATGTCTTGACTAGGCCTACAACAGCTCTTAAGCTCCTGATGTCCATAATTATCCTTGCTTTTCAAGACTCGAAGAACATGACCTCTTCTGAGGCTACCTTTCCATCTGTGTCCCATGGTCTAACAAGTGTGACAACAATGGTTTTGCCTCTGAGTTCTCCAAAGAGTGGTGTGGCAGGCAAAACAAGGGCTATTATTTTTTCTAGGTCACCATACCCAGTTTGGGTTAAGACAGAACCTGTGCAGGTCTCAAACACTGTTTAAAACTATGGTATTTAGTAACTAGAGACATTATGAGTATCTGACCATGATGGACCTACTCTGACATAGCAATTCCTCCACTCTAATGCACCAAATCTGCATGACACTTCTTTAGTCTGAAATAAGTCTCCACCATGGTGGACCCTAAGCTTGCCTGTTGTAAACAGCACAAGTGCTGGAAGCTGTTTCTTGATCTCTGAGCTTCATTTGCCAAGTACTTGTCCCAAGTATCGTGCAACCCTTTCATGGAGGTCACAATCAAGCTTGTGTGCCATCTCATATGGAGGCCAAAGCACATGGTCTGGGTCTGGTCAGTTTGAGAATGAGTTTTGCATGTAAGTGACATTGGTGCATACTCACAATCCTTGAGGACATGTTCATATCCTATTGGACTGTCATCTTCATGCTCATCTTCATTTGCAAGCTCATCTGAAAGGTCATATTGCATCCACAACTGTTCCATGTATGTGCAATGAAGTAATGCTTTATTCAAATTACTCCCAGGGTGGCTGTGTGAATGGAGTGTATTCTGGAGCATCCCACAAAAGCACTCCATATGAAATGTCCTGGTCCACACTGGCCCACAGTCTTGGATACCCTGTATGACATGTAAGATACCATGGATCATGAGCATGCAAGCTGGCAGGCATTCAATGTCATATTGATCATAGTATCTATTGACAAAAAATAGTGTTGCAATACAATTGAATCAGAAACATGCATACCTCTCATATTTCTGCACCCAATCTATAACATGTCTTTTGATATTGTCAAGTTGTCCATGTGGGGTGCAAAACTGTAAAGTAGCCTTCATGATTGCTGCTAGCTCACACATGCGCTTGTAGTATTTGTCTTTTGGAAAGCACCCCTTCAGTAGCTTCAGAGCAAGATGCACAAACCAAAAACACCATGTCTCCACTGTAAAGAGTGAGTGGTCTGTTGCAATATATTCATGAGCATGTGGACAAATGTAGATGGTATGTGTCAGAGAGCAGCAGCAGTTTCTTTTCCAGTCTCCTCCCAAATTTTGGTCGCAATTTTGAAGTCTTCATTACCTGTCCCAAGACCCTTGAATTGGCCCATCCAGAAGTCAACAGGGTTCAGGACAATGTTCTCTAAGAACAAATGAAACCATTCCCATGGGGATGATCATGCATAATCCAAGGACCTGACATGAGCCAGGCCTGACAATCCTTTGATGCCAGTCTCCTTTGTGATCATCACCATCTCTTTTTTTGTTTTTCCCACCACAATCCTCGCCATTGCATCTGAGAAGTCATCATGGTTTCGTAAAGGGGCTGGTTGATAGAGGGTCCTTGCACTGTGGTTTTGAGATGGCAGGTGAAGAGGGACATAATAGGTCTTGCCTAAGCCATGAACAGCTTTCACCTTGCATGAATGACAAGGGAAGATTGAGTTATGGCCCTTGAGATTTAAGAAGCACTCAATTGTGATGATATCACCAGATTTGATGATGATATATGCATGCATCTTGAAAAGGGCTTGCTGGGATGCATTGAAAGTCTGGATGCCATATGCTAGCTCAGCACATTCATTGTCCAGGGGAATGAGAAAAGAATTAAGGTCCTTGGGTTGGTGTGGGCCAGGAATAATTCTGACACACAATAGGTTTTTGCTGTGAGTTTGCACATGTAGAGGCAGGTTGTAGTTCTGAAACAGGAATGGTGTACCAGATGGGCCCTTGTGTCGCCACCTGAAGAGTAAATAGCTGTTGGTACAAAGGCCCAATGCAATGTCTTGGGAATCTGAGAAGTATTGGTGAGGTAACTCTTCTCCATCAACAATAACATGACAATGGAGAAGCCACTGGTAATGATTCCCATCAAATACATCCACAATCTCTCCTCTCCCAATATCATAATCCACATGGTATGAGAGCATTTTGATCATCCTCATGCTTTGGAAATACCCTTGCAGTTGTAGGATAAGTGGGAGATACATGAATTGTCAATGTGGCCTTCTGTACTGGTTGAATCGCACTTCTTGACAGAACAGACAAGACTGAAGATAAATATATTTTTTGGTGTAGGCCACACATGAATTTCCACAGCAGTCAACCAAGAGGGGTTTGATCCCAGATGGTTTGGCCACACACTGAAAGATGACATATTGCAAGTCAAGGTTCACTTTGTGTCAGAAAGTGAATCATATCTGTGAGTATGCACATCAAGTGATTTGGCCCATCATAAGGAGGTTAAATGTGTGGATATTGTCATGATCTTCATCCAATAGAATATCATTCCCTGATGCATGATCAGTTTGTGCATTAGAGCCAGGGCAACTGGGCATGTACAGAGAGTGAACAGATCTTGTTCTCTTTCATTTCTTGCATTGTCTTCCAACTCATCCAGCAGCTCATTATCATCTCCCTTGAGCTCTTCAGCCCATACCCATACATCATCTTGAATGTCACTTCCAGGGTCAGCCTCAGACTCAGGCACCCCACTCACACCTGTTGTGTCCAATCATCAGCAAAACACAAAAATGTGTTAGTAACTCATAGCTGCCCATAGTATTTGCACAATTCCATATTAGTCCAAAGCAATGTCAAGCATCCTAGCAACTCATAGTGCCAGAGTAGACTACACCAGACTTGCCCAAAGTAGTTGCCAGCATCCAAGCAACTCATAGCACCTGAGTAAGCCACACCAGTGATACCAGCAATCCAAAGGCCAATAGCTACCTAGCATACAAGGGAACAGACACACCTAGCTAATACAGCAACCTAGATTCCCACTGTAGTAGAGAACTTGGTAGATCTAACTTTGTTCCTATGCATGAAGGCAACAACACGCAGACATAACATACAGCATTTTTCAATAAGTACAGGAAAGTAATGGATAGTATTAGTCTAGATGAATGGTGAGTATTTGACTACCAGCATGCTCAATAACTGTGCCTATCAAGAACTGGCATAAGTAAAATAGTGGCCCAAAAGAAAAGAGTGAGCATAGCATACCATTGGACTCAAAAGATGGCTGCAGCTCACTGGCCAGAACACTAACATCAAAAATAGGCTCCCCCAGTCCACATTTTTTCATTGCTACACATAATGAGTCAACCTCCATATCTTTTTCATGGACTCTCGCCTTGCTGCTGCCCACCTTGTACTTGTACAACTTGGCCATCAATTGGTATTCATGGGCAATGCATGCAGCCAGAGCTTGTTCCACATGAAAGACTTCACATTGTGTGTGTGCTACATCAAGAAGGAGAAGTGCCTTGTGATTCAGCTGACTCTTTGATTCATGCTGCAGATTGAAAACCTATCAATGAGCAGTTATTAGGAAGGAAAAAAAGAACTTCCTGTGTGAGTGGACAACTCCAATATTCCATACATCTCCACTAAGACACCAGTTGTCTCTGCTTTGACCTCAGCACTGCTAGAGGGGCTGTTGCAGGAAGAGAACCCACCATCATGAGGCTTATGGGGCAGTCCTTTGCTGCCTGGGTGACACTCAACTGTGGGCATGGTTGATCCAGCATGAAGGTGTGTGTGATTGAGGTTATAAATGGACATGAGTGACTATGTTCATGAATGGTATGTGATTGGGTAGTACATGAGAAATACACTCCATAGCGATCTGAACAATGTCCTGATTTGCACTGAAGTGATAATCATGTAACATGGAATCAGCCTGTCTGACCATCTAGAGTATGCCCTGCTGTCCAAGTTGCAGTAAAGGTGGCTTCCAGAGTCACAGCACTGTTGCAATGCACATGAGCCAGCCATCCTCTGGGTGCAATACCTGGGTCAATAACTTAGTCCACCTTCACGAGTCTCTCCAACCTTCGAGCTTGAACATTCATAACTCTCAACACCCAACACACTTAGAAGATGTCCCAATGAGCACCAACCCCAATGACTATGCAACTCATGATTACCTGGATTTTGTTCATATGGCATTTGACATGTGGGGGCCAACCACAGACAACTTTGAGGGCACAGCTAAAACATTTGGACTTGGCCCAACATTTATGGACAAATTTAATGGTGACCAGTTCAGCAACCTATGGGCATCAAATCTGCACTACCCCTTCAACTCCCACAATGAATGGGAGCTGGCATTATGGTTACTTCATTCAGGCCTGAGCATGAGAGCTATAGACTCTTTCTTGTCATTGTCAATCATAAGCCTGTCCTTATTCTCTCCAAAGATCATTATTGACTCATTTGTGGGACAGCCCTGCCTCCCCAACAGTACCAGAGTTCTTTCACTGAAGGTGGTGTCAACTCAGTCCCTTGCAGAATTTCACCTGTGCAGTACTCACCTTTCTCCCTATGCCTCGAGAGTGCAAGCACTTGTGTTTTGCCTTCCTGCACTGTTTGCAGGATGCCTCTGGCTCCCTGACACACACAAGGTTTGCCTGGGCACATGCCTCGCAGGGCTTGTTGTCCCCAGCTGCATGAGGTCCCTTTGCAGATGGACCTGGTTCGCCATCACCCTCATCATTGTCGATGTTGTCAGCCAGCTCATCCTCCTTGCTGGTGGCCTGCAGAATTTTTGTTGAAGTCAGCGTGTGTGCTTGGAGTTGTCAAGGTCATAGGGCACACTTTCTGTTTCCCTTTTCCCAAAGGTTGGGTATGGATTGGGTAGTGGATGCAGGTGTAGCTGGGGCATGGATGTTTGATGAGTGGTGAGACACCTTCTGAGTGTGTTTAAATTCTGCAGGGCCATCTCATACAATGCAGAATTTCCCTCTGCATGAGGCAGAACTCCAACCACATGCCATCATTGTTACATAATGTCTGTCAATATTCCACACTCATCTCTGTTGTGTCTCAGTTTGGTCTGACTGAGGACAGTCAGCATTCAAAGTTCCCAGGAGGTGTAGGGAGCCATATACTCCCTGAGGCTGGAACAGGAATCTGTCACTAAGTTCTGCAGGCATCTACAACAAACCCATTTCGGAATTTTTCCTGCTCATGTCCTCATGTTCCCTCCCAACCCCTGTTGCCTTCAGAGTTTCTGCCACCCTTCAGCATGTCACTCAGTCATCAAATTGCTGATCTGGAAATTCCACATTCATGCAGAGTCACCCAGAATTCAGCAGCCATGCCCCCACTCAGTCATGTCACTGGTCATCCATGCCACTTACCTCTAATACACTCTGGTTTCCCCTGTCACCCTAAATTCTGCAAGCTGGACTTCATGCCAGTATGCTACATTCTGCCCCCCTGTGCTGCTTGGCTCCACCTCCCACTTGTACACATACTCATTCTGTTGGAAGATACCCCTTACCATTGTTCTGTTCTTACTCTTGTCTACTACCCACCGGACTTTCACTGACATCTGACATACTTTCCTTTATTTTCTGGTCTTTTAGTTTTTCCACCCCACCTTACTCCAACTTGTACCTACTTCCCTTGTACTATATAATTCCACCATGATGTCAGAAATATACCCACCCCATCTTTTGGAGTCACTATCTGAGTCATTCACATGTCTAAGTGTTCAAAAGTGTCTGCCACATACTCTGCATCTACTGTGGCTTCTGTGTTGCTGTGTCTTCCCTCCGTCTCTCATGAGTCTCAGAATTACTTCTTCATGCCAAGGTCATAACTTGGAATTTTGTATACAAGTCTACTGGTTCCCAATTTGCCTACATCTCTGTGGAATTAAATTCCATGCCCCATATTCAACTCCTCGATCAACCCTACCACTGTTTTCTACATCTCCTTCCTACTCAGCACCCCTTGGGTTGAGCCTAGGGATTGCCCTACAGCTCCCCCCCCCCTAATTGCATGCTACCTGGAGGTAGTGTCCCACACCAGTGTTCTTTGTTGCAAAGAAGGATGGAAAGAAGCAGTTAATTCAAGACTACCATTATCTCAACTTGTTCACCATCCCAGATGCACACCCACTGCCTAACACACAGGCTCTGTTCAATGAGTTGGTCAAATCCAAGTATTATGCCAAGTTCAACATTCATTGGGGGTTCACTAATCTGAGGGTGAAGGAAGGTGATGAATGGAAAGGAGCATTTATCACACCCAGAGGGTTGTTTGAACCCATGGTAATGTTCTTTGGCCAGTGCAATTCACCCTCTTCTTTCCAGCAATATATGTACAAAACTTTTGAGTCTCAATGAGGAAAGCAAGTGGGATACATGGACGACCTCACGATTCATGCTAAAACAAGGGAGGAACTTTGGATCCGAGTTCAAGAGTTCCTGGAGATCTGCAAGAAGGAAGGGTTACACCTGAAGATTAGCAAGTGCTGCTTCGAGGCCAAAGAAATTGAGTACCTAGGAATGATCATAGGAAAAGGGCATATGGAGACCTCACCAACAAAGACCAATGCCATTAGTAATTGGGAAGCCCCCAACAATCTTACTGGGCTTCATTGATTCCTTGGATTCTGCAATTGCTACTGCAAGTTTATCCCCTCTTTCTCAAGCATCGCCAGACCCCTTCATGATCTCACCAAGAAAGGGGTGCCCTATCAATGGACTCCAGAATGCGATGCCACATTCAAAAAGTTAAAGTCTTTGTTATGCTCCTCTCCAGTCCTTGCTATACCCAACTTCTCAAAGCCATTTGCCTTGTTCACTGATGCTTCGAAGCTTGGAACTGGGGCTGTACTTACCCAAAAGGGAGCTGACAATGAGTGGCATCTGTGTTCCTACTTGTCCCAGTCTTTGGTTGGTGCCAAGCAATGCTACCAAGTCTATGACTTGGAGATGCTAGCTGTCATTTGCACCCTCAAGGCTTTCCGACCCTACTTGCTATCCCCTGTTGAACCAACTGTGGTCTTCACCAACCACAAAAACTTGGAATACTAATGTGAGCCTCAACAGCTCACCCCTCATCAGGCCTGATGGGCCACTACCATCCAGTCCTACCCTATCTGGTTCTCCTGGCAGGCTGGCCACCTACAGGTCCCAGCTGACACCTTGTCCCACAAAGGGACTCTCGAGGAACCTGCCCCAGTAGCCACAGTCCTCCCCCAAGACCTTTGGCTTTCAGAGGGGGTGGATTCCCATGTTTGTCTTGTTTCCCCCACTTTTTCCATCAAAAAATGACAAAAACAGTTAAAACTTAACCATCTAATGTGAATAGGATGCCTTCCCACCCAGATACAACATTCTAAAGAAAACTCAAAGCTGTATTCTCACCCTGCTGAGGAAAAACCAAAGGAGAATAGGCTGCCTGACACTCACCCTTTGAGGAAACCTGAAAAAGGAGCAAGGGGAGTTTACACTATATCTGTGGACCTGTATGAGTGCATCAAGAACAATACATCAAAGGACTCAACAGGCCTGGAACCTTGGGATAATGTTACTATTGCAGAAGACAGAACAAAATGGTTTGGAAATACACATCTCTACATTCCCCCCAAAGATCATCACCACTGCATGTGCTCGTATCATGACCATGAGTCAGCCAGACATCCAGGACAAAAAGCGATGTTTGCAAAGATGTGAAAAGAAGTGTGGTGGGAAGGTATGAATAAGGATATATGAACTTACATGGCAGGATGTCCAATGTGTCAGACCACCAAAGTGGTGACTCACCCACCAACTCCACCAATTGTCCCTCACAAAACCCCTAAAACCGCATTCCCATTCCAAAAAATATCTATGGATCTCATCATGGATCTCCCAGTCTCAGGAGAACAGAAGTATGACTCTATTCTCATGGTTGTCAATCAGGGTCTTACAAAGGCTGCCCTGTTTGTTCTGTGTCACAAAACAATTGACTCCATTGGCATCACCCAGTTGTTCCATCAATTCATCTATTCATGCTTCAGAGTTCCTGAATCGGTAATCTCAGACCGTGGTCCACAGTTCACTTCCTCATTCACAAAGGAGCTGTACAAAGCGATAGGGGTCAAGACTAGGCTCTCAACAGGTTACCACCCACAGACCAATGGAGAAAGTGAATGTGTCAACCAAGAGGTGGAGAGGTACCTTCAGCTGTACTGTGCTGAAGTGCCAAACTTGTGGGCAGCCAAACTCCCATCAGCTGAGTTTGCTCACAACTCCCAAATCCATTCTGTCCATCAAATGACTCCATTTTCACTTCTCCTGGGTTATGACCCCTCTCCCTACCCTGAAAAGCAGCTCACCATGGTCCCCTTGGTTGATGAAAGACTGGAAAGACTGGCCTCGAGTCAAGATGTTGCCATTCTTGCTCACAAAAAGGCACAGGACCTGATGTGTTTGTGCTCAAAATGGTCCTATACACTGCCCAAGTTCAGAGATCAAGTCCTCCTGGATACTGGGCATCTTCACATCAAAAACCAGTGTGACAAGATTGCGCCCCAACATCTCAGGCCCTTCAAGGTGACTCAGGTCATCTCACTGGTCACTTTCCAATTGGACCTCCCACCCACTTGGAAGGGTCACCCAGTTTTCCATGCATTGTGGATCTTCCCCTTTACTGAAAATGACACTTATGGAGCTGCACCTGCAGCACTGCTACTGGAACTCATTGATGATGAAATCAAATGGGAAGTCAAGTCAATAATCAATCACAAGGTCAATGGGCACAGAGGTAAACAAAAATATTTGGTCAAGTGGAAAGGGTTCCCACATTCATCAAACACCTGGGAACCTGAGGAACATATAAAAGACCATGCTTTGGAGGCCCTCAACCAGTACAAACTCACTTGTCACCTCTGCAACTAATGGACTCCACTCACTTTGTCAACACTGAGAACAACTATGCCGACCTCCCCCTTGCAGAATCCCTTTATGACCCTGCAGCCAACAGGGATGACCTCTTCATCCCCCCCATCACTGTCTATGCCCTGACCTCACCTCCAACAACCACCACTGGCTTTCCTGACTCATACCCCTCATCCCCTGTCTCACAACCTCACATGACATCACCCCCTGTTGCCTGCCCTCTCAGACCATGTCCACACACATCCTTCTCAGTTAAGAGGGTCCCTGCCCCCAAGGCCAGAGTCCTCCCCAGTGGGGACAGTAACCAGCAGGGAAAGGGAAAGGGTAAGGCACAAGCTGATGATGACACCAGTGGTTGAGCAGCCGAGGCTGGTCCCACCAATGCTCCTGAACCTCCCCACTTACACATCACCTTCACCACCTACTCTGATGGCACACACCATGCTGCTGTCAACCTCCTCACCTTGGCTGCCCTTGCCTGGGATGACAAGCCTCAACTACCAATTGCAGCAGGTGACTACCTGGACATTGTTAGGGTGCTTGATGTCTTCCACGACAGGGACCATGCTGTCTCTAAGATTCACACCTGGAAGCTTAATGGTACAGCCCTGCTCTCAGAAGTTGTCATGGTCAACATGTTGGAAAGAAGCTTGTTGGGACTTTTAGAAGTGGTAACTGGGGGTGCATACCATCATCTTCTCCATCAGCAGATTGGCAAGTTCCTCACACCCCCTGCTTCTCAACTTCTTGATTGGATTTGCCCAAAACAAGAGGAACCATCAGTTTCCCACAAACAAAAGGAAGAAGTCATGTCAGAATGGAAGAATGATGATGGGTGGAAGGCATTAGAGCTGACCTATGTCAATGGGGCTGCATTGTATAAAGAGGTTGGTGCATGACTTGGTATGGGGACTCACAACTCTGCTTGGGAGGTTTTACTGCAGGATGCTTCATGGGCTGGGATCCACAAGCACTACCATAATGCCATCCACTCCACTGACCCTCTCCCTGCTACTCCTTTTGTCCCCATCCCTGTGGATCAACTTCAGTTCTATCTGGGAGGACAGTCCCCTGTCCCTGCTGACCACATCCTCTACCAGCATGTATGTTTCCAGTGTCATTACCTGGGATATTGGTCATGTTGCAATGGATGTGGCTCCTGCTATACTCCAGCCCTCAAGGAACCACCAACTCCATCACCATCATCACCTATCACCTTGCAGACCCATTCCTGCATTTACACTACTCACTGACCCCTTTCTGCCCACCCTGCCAATGCATCTGGCTTGTCCTCAAGGGTCTGAGGACCTTAGAGGGGGGGTGATGTTACACCCATGTCAGGGGTCTTTCCTTTTTTGACTTCATGAGGTCACATGTATCACATGCCTCATCACATCTCTCATGGTTGTCACCATCCTAGGGGTTTGTATGCCACAAGGCTCACTCAGATCTCCAGCTGTCAAGGTATTTCCAATACCTGTCAAGACTGTGCCTCTTGTTTGATCCAGTGTTCCACTGCCCTCTCTGATGGATGGCTTGTTATTTTCCCCACTTCTGGTCTGTCTATGACTTGTTTATGTTGCTCAAATGTTGTACTATAGCTCCAGTGTCTGGCTCCTTGCTGCACATTGATTGTGCAGCTGGTATAGCCTTTGTTTCCTTGCCTCTGCCCATCATATGACACCATATGACTCATTCTGACTTATTTATTTGACTGATGCTTTTGTTGGTTACTGCAGATATGTGTCATGACATGTCTTGTCGCAACTGGTATGGTACTCATGCTTAGAAGTATATGGTCCCATGTACTTTACCTTGTATCCTCAGTTTTTCAATAGCTTGCAACTCAGCTTCATCCCTTTGCTCTCATCCTCATTCCCTCCTCTGTGTGACAACCCTACGGACCACCAGAAGGAGTGAACCTCTGTCAGACTTCAGCAATAACTGAGCCATAGGGGTTACAACATGTTCGGCCTGTAGGCTCCCCCTTGCACACTTTGTGCCTATTCCATTTGAAGAAGTCACTGTGCTTGGGCATAACAGAAGGTGGTCAACAGAGATGTTCAAAGAACAGAACTGTTACTAATTTTGGTGAAACTTCTTGTTTGGACTAGTGGAAGGGTTGATGAAAAGCAGGAATTTGAAGTTACCTGGAGAGAATCTCTAGCTACTATCCAAAATTAAAACAACAGTTTAGATTTGTTTCTGGAGAGCATTTAGATTTGTTTTTGGAGAGCATGCTTCATCTGCAAACCTACCTGAGGGGATGAGCAGTGTATGGATGCCTCCATTTGGAAGTGACTTGTTGTAACACTCCTTTCATGCTTGGTAAAACACTTATTGGCCAATGAGAGGGCTTGCTCAAGTATGAAAGGCTAGTCAACAGCTGTGTTGCATAGCTGTTGCCCAGATGTTGGTTTTGGAGAATCAGAGATTGCTGATATTGCTACCCAGCACATTCCAAGTTTTTAAGTCAACCAATGACAGGCATCACTATTGCTCACCCCCCCCCCCACTGCTGTCACTATCATAGTATGCCTGCACACCAGCTTACTGCTTCAACTTGTGAAATATAGGTAGGTATGTGTCTTCTCTAGCTTTCTGTCTGTGCTGAGGTACTCTATTTTTGTCAGTGCTATTCCTTGGATGGTGACAACAGCAGGGTACATTATTGCTATGTCATCACATCCATTGCCAGTCACCTTGTTGCATTCAGGCTGTCACTATGAATGAAATGGCTGGTGCTTTGTGATCAGTCATCTTCTGTTTGGTAGGGGTTGTTATGTGTCAACTTCATTTCTCTTGTACTCTGATACATACATTCCTGTGTTTGTGATGTTGTACCTGGGTTTGAAATGCTGTCACTAGCAGGGAGTTTGAGCCTCTGCTTGACTGTTGGTATGTGCAAGGCAGGTCCTCTTTCTTTCCTCCATCACTGACACCATTCCTTCCTGGAACAGTATCACAGCCATTTGGAAGGAGAAGCTTGGACATCTCTGTGTGGATGCATTCATTCATTCTACTGGTATGTTCACTGCTGAAGTGTTGCCACTTTTATGAACTTTTGAGTTTGGGTAGCACTTGTTTTTCTTGTCACTTCAGCTCCATCTTTATGCACATGAAGGCAAACCAGATACTATTCTGTCTGATTGCTAACTGCCAAAAGGCTGATGGCTTGCAGGTTGTTGATCCTTCATTGATGGCAGTTTCCATGGAAGCTGTTGTAGAGGGTGCAACCTTGCTAACTGTTGGCTCTTCCCCAACTGAAACCTTTTCCTCTACTCCACACTTGTTCTCAATGTCATCTAGTCCCCTGATGGTATTAATATTGGTATGCTTATGTAATTAGTTGTGGCAGGGTTTCATTACAAATGTGCCATGACATCATTGTAGCTGTGTTTTCATTACCAATTAACTACTTTACTTTGTAGTGTAAGGTCTGCTTTTGTGATTACATAAAAGTAATGTTGTGCTGTGCAGTGTGCCATCAGCATGTCATGTGATGTCATGTGACATGCTTCACTGCACATGCTACAACCAGTGGCTGATGACCAAACAGCAGCAAACAGAAAATTTTATAAAAGATGCACTTCAACACACCACTCTTCATCTTTCTCTCTCCCATGTTCCTCTTACCACTCCTTTGATGCCAGACTTCACCTATGTAGACTGCAGCTGCATGGGTTTAAGGTATGTCTTGTAGTATCCTGCTGTTGTCCTGCAGCACACTATGGGTGTGTAGGTTACTGATACTATCTTCCTGTGGGTTCTGGGGGTTTAGTCTGTGCCTGCTTTTGCAGGCCAGCTGGGGTTCTGGGGGTTACATAGTCTGTGCCTGCTAGTGCAGGTCAGCTTAGGACTCTTTCATTGTGGGACCTGGGGGCATAGTCTGTGCCTGTTAATGCAGGCCAGCTTTGTGGGTTCTGGGGGATTGATTGTCTGTGCTTGCCAGTGCAGGCCAGCTTCTGACTGACATCTATATTATCTTTGTACTAGTCTTTTAGATACCTTATTTTCTCTAGAGATCTCAATGTCTTTCTGGGGAGGAGCCCCTCCAGGATGCCTGAGGTCTCAGTTCCACTTGGAACATTTGCTCTGTAACTTAGTCCTGTATTTTTCTTGGCTGTGTATTTGGTCAATCCTGTATTTTCTGGGCTGTGTATTTGGCTGGTCAATCCTTGTAGTTGCTAGGCTGTGTAACATGAATTGCCCCCATGCTGCTTGATTTTTTGAAGTTGTGTAACCCTAACCCTAACCCTAGCAAAGGACATGCACTGGGCAAAGTAGAAATCCCACCACCCTGGTGATTGAGTTAAAGGGTAAACCTGAGGGTCAGATAAGTGTGAAATCTAAGGGATCCATACCACATGGGGTGGGTGTGAGGTTGTGTGTAAGTAGTAGGCAAATGGGTATGGCATAGGCCAAAGTCTTGGGACCCAAGACCAAGGTAATCAATCCATTGGTCTAAGCTCATGTTCAATCCATTGGGTCTAACCTTTACTATACATCAGTAAATCACTTTGAGCTGTGGAGCTCTCCACAGTGCTCCATAATATGCAGAGTCCCCTAGCTAGGTCCAGGCTGGACAGATGCACCCAACAACACTTTTTGCTATGGCTAGTTGCCTGTTACTATGGAGTGGTCACATTGTCATGGAACTTTGTCCAGTATCTTACTTACTATGAATTGCTATGGAACTTTCATGCTTAGATATCACTGTACAAAACTAGCCAGACTGTATTCTCCTTGGGGTGTTGTCCAGTACTCCCCATCTCAATGTTTACTTTGTAAACATGTGATCACTCCACAACTAGGAACAGTTCACAGCAGGTATGACAGGAACAGGAGCATTGGCATCAATTGTGTACTACATGTAATGACAGGTATGACAAAACTAGGTATTATGAAATCAATCAAGGACTGCCCGAATGTGCTGGTACCTCTCTACATTCAAATCAACCTCTTGCAGTGCAGCCCTGATATGAGGAGTCAGCACAAGCATGTTGGCCACCCCAGTACTTACCATCCTTCCTTCACCCACTGAGAAAGCTGATCACGCAACCTTGCACTGTGATAGGGATTATGAAGGATGTTGTTCAGCACCTTCATCATGCCATGGAAAATGGAATTGTAAGCCTTGCCAGAGAATTGAGGCATTGTCTTTCCTGTGCTGTCCTTTGCAAATCTGTCCAACACACAATGATACTGCAAGAAAAGTTTGAGTTGCAGCAACTTGGGGTGTAAAATAACTCACCATGGCTGTGACAAGAGCCAGACAGGAAAGGGGAACTGAATTGTTGAAGGACTCAGGACACTTATCTGCAATTTGATAGGTCCCAGTATAGTGTGAGTGAAATTCCTGGTTTTTCCCTGATAAACCAATCTCTTAGTAGTGCAGACAATGAACTGTGTGAACATACATTCTCATCGAAACTGTCTCACAGGAAAAGTGAGTTGTCAAGGAGCTTTGCAGCAGCAGTCTCTATCCATTGTACATGAACCCATGGTGCAGCATCAGAAGGAGGGATAAGGTTGAATGCAGATGGCATGGTTGCCAGCATAACTGACTTCAATTTTGAATGCCAGGTAGATATATCACCAAGGAGCTACCAGTGGTATGTCAGTAGCTGTAACTGAAAGACAGGACTACTTACAAGGCATGCCATATCTTGCTTGTGGTCAGGCCAGTAACCTATAAAGTTAGGATAACGAGACACATATAAAGTTGGAGAGGTTGAGGTCATGAGATTTTGATGGGAATGGGTTAGAAAGTGCATGTGCAGCCCTGCATTCTCACTTAGCATCTTCAAGACAGTCCTTCCATACTGCCTTGTAAAATCTCAGTTGTGAAGGCAATTGGTCCTCATCCTTAGCTTTCTTGGAGTTATGAGGGGCTCTGGTGCACTGAGATACTTCATTGACCAAGTCATGTGCAAGGGTCAGAAGATCATGATTGGGAACAGAAGGATGACAGTTAGTGTGATGGTGGCATTCAAGAATGTTGACAACAGTGCCATGTGGGGAACCCTAAAATAACAATCTGAATAAATAAAGCTAGCAGGAATGGCATTTTTGTACCTCTGGCTGAGCCTTGTCCTTGGATTGTAAGCTTCGCAGAGCTGCATTGTCATCCTCATTGTGTGAGTACTGAAACTCATGGTCAGGGGGTAAGGAATTGTAGCAAATAGGATTGCTTGTCATTGTTTCTTGGGAGAAGCCTAACAAAGAACATTGAGCCAATACCATAATAACCTCTGACACATACCAGGATGAGTTGATTGCCTAAGATTCATTGCACCCCATCCAAATGCATTGTCCTCATCTTTGTCAGACTCATTGCCAGAGACCTCACCAGCCTCTGCATCCAATGGGTTATTACTTGAGGACTCTGACTCCTCTTCTGAGAAGCCCTCTGATGACAGCTTCTCCAAACTCCTGTGGCAAACATCAGCAGTTGCCGAAGTTTGTCTTGATGAGAGCAAGCTATCAAGGGAGGGGTCAATACAAGAGTCAGGGACAGTAGCAGGCAGCTGGTGGGGGATAAACCGACACTGATAGTTGGGCTGGGGTGTTGGTGGACAAGATGTATTACTGGGAACTTGGTCTCCCTGAATTGTGGCAATATAAGGATTATTGAGCACTTGAAGGTCAGGTTCCAGCCTGGGAGGCATGATATGACCTGGCTGTTGAGCTGGAACACTGAAACTAAAGCAATGGGAGTCTGTGGGGCACTGATGGAAGACAGGTGTTGCTACTGCTGTTGAAGACTGAGGGATGGGATTCTGAAATGAACATTGTATATCAGTATGAAAAGACATTCACTGGAGGCATATCAGCTGGGCTAGGACCATTCACAATGGGAGGCACATAGGGTGGTGGGGCAACATTGGACTTTGCAAGTGGTTAGCTTGATATTTGCAAATAACTAGAACTGACCTTTGGTTTTGCATTCTGGCCAGCACTGTGGCCCCCACCCCTTTTCTGCCAAGTGGGCAGAGGTGCAAGAAGATTTACAATGGAATTGTTGGGGAGATCTGTCAACTTTCTCATGAGGCACTTCTCCTTCTCAATGTAGTGTGCACACAATGCAAAGTCTTTCATGCAGAACAAGCTCTGGCCACATGCATTGCCCATGAATACAAATCAATGGCCAAGTTGTACAAGTACAAGGTGGGCAGCAGCAAGGCAAGAGTCCATGAAAAAGATATGGAGGTTGGCTCATTACATGTAGCAATGAAAAAATGTGGACTGGGGGAGCCTATTTTTGATGTTAGTGTTCTGGCTGGTGAGCTGCAGCCATCTCTCAAGTCTGATGGTATGCTATGCTTGCTCTTTTCTTTTGGGCCACTATTTTACTTATGCTGGATCTTGATAGGCACAATTATTGAGCATGCTGGTAGTTGAATACTTGCCATTCATCTAGACTAGTACTATCCATTACTTTCCTGTACTTATCAAAAAATGCTGTATGTTATGTCTGCGTGTTGTTGCCTTCATGCATAGGAACAAAGTTAGATCTACCAAGTTCTCTACTACAGTGGGAATCTAGGTTGCTGTATTAGCTAGGTGTGTCTGTTCCCTTGTATGCTAGGTAGCTATTCATCTTTGGATTGCTGGTATCACTGGTGTGGCTTACTCAGGTGCTATGAGTTGCTTGGATGCTGGCAACTACTTTGGGCAAGTCTGGTGTAGTCTACTCTGGCACTATGAGTTGCTAGGATGCTTGATGTTGCTTTGGACTAATATGGAATTGTGCAAATACTATGGGCAGCTATGAGTTACTAACACATTTTTGTGTTTTGCTGATGTACTGGACCATACCTGTCAGTCTTTGGATTACTGGCACTTGGGATCTTTGTGTTGGCTGTGCATACCTACATTGTAGCCTGCATTGCTTGTTGGTAGTACATACATATGTTGGTAACTCATGTGGTAGATACCTCAGTTTGAATATCAACTGTAATACCTCTACTAGGTCTTCTTTATCAGCCTTCTGTCAGGACTTGTACAAGGACACTGCTACATAACATGTCAACTACAGAGCAAGTCCACTTTTGTGTTCAGTATCATTTGATCAACTTCATAACATCTCAGCTGTAATGTCCCACCCTTGGTACTGCATTGGTACTTGTCAGTGAGTGTCAGCAGATTCCTGGAGCTTTAGACCCCCTTGGATGAGAGGATCAGTTCTAACCTGACAAGAGACTTTAAAAGAAAACAAGCAGACAGACAACTAAGTGCAGAATGTTAGATTAGGATCAAACATGAAGAATGGAGACATAGCAAGAGACTGTCAAGATTGGTTGCTCCTAGGGACAAAGGGGGGGGGGTTCCACAATGAATGCTGATGCAGTACTGGCTACTGGGGGTCGCAACCAAAAGGTGCCTAGTGGTGAAGGGAGACCTGCTGAAAGGCCAAAAAGCAAGTAATGTGGAGGGGGCTTACTCTGTACTTTGCCATGCTATCTTGCAATGCCCTCATACAAGTTTTGACAGAAAGCTGAAGGTACCAAAATTGAACCTCTTATTGGTGTGGGTAGGTGCATCTCCCAGTGAGGTCAGCCAACTCCACTTGCAGGAGGTGGGTGCATCCTCCAAACAGGTTGGCTGACCCCACTTCTAGGCAGTGGGTCCACCCTCCAAACAGGTCAGCCTACCCCACTTCCAGGAGGTGGGTCCATCCTCCAGCCAAGTCAGCCAACCCCACTTCCAGGCACTGGGTCCACCCTCCAAACAGGTCAGCCAACCCCACTTCCAGGCACTGGGTCCACCCTCCAAACAGGTTGGCCAACCCCCACTTCCAGGCAGTGGGTGCATCCTCCAAACAGGTCAGCCAACCCAACTTCCAGGCAACAGGTCCACCCTCCAAACAGGTTGGCCAACCCCACTTCCAGGCAGCGGGTCCACCCTCCAAACAGGTTGGCCAACCCCACTTCCAGGCAGCAGGTCCACCCTCCAAACAGGTTGGCCAACCCCACTTCCAGGCACTGAGTCCACCCTCCAAACAGGTTGGCTGACCCCACTTCCATGGGGTACATCCATCTCCCCATGAGGTTGGCCAATCCCACCTCCACACACCAGCCTACCCACCTTTGGGCACCATCAGCTGACATTGGTTAGTCCCACTTTTAGGACAAAATGTACATGTCAGATGACCCACTTTCAGGCCTACAGGTGACTGAAGGGTCTGCACAGCTGGGATACAGAATATGAAGGATACTAAATTAATTTCTTATTTTCCTTTGGAAGAGTAGTTGAACAATATCTACTACCCTATTACTAGGTAAACATATGCAGAAGTATATTTTTTTCCTGTTCAAAACCAACCTCTTACAGAACCCATACTCCCTGAAAATCCATACCTCCCAGACAGTCCTGACAGCCATGGGTTAAGAGGGAGTCTACTGTACATCATGGACACCTTACTGATACTTTGGATTTCAGTAGACTTGCAGCACTACACAACATACTCATGAAATTATGAACTTAGTATGTGTGATGTGTGGGATTCAGGTCAACCTGCTACTGAATTATGCTGGGGTGAAGATTCCCCAGAGGGTTTTATTAACATAAAAAGACAAAGAGGAACAAAGGGGGGAAAAATCCATCCATCCGTTCCAAAACTCATTTAGCAGTTGCCACCTGCATCCAAGTCATAAGCTCCTGTTAGAACGGCCAATCCGACGATGATGGACAACACACGGCGAACCCACCTAGTGTCCGGCAAAATGAATGTCGCGAGGAACGGTAGGGCCGTGATAACGGACCCATAGAGGTTGCACGGACGGGGGTGGCATTGACACCGTCTGTGACGACAGTGCGACTGGAGCGAACAGTCAAAGGTGTCAGTGCGCTAATCTGCGATTTCTTCGGAGTCTCCGTAACCTTCGACGTCCGTGATTCAGAAAGGCTGGATGATGGCAGTAGCGCCGTGGTGGTCGTGGGCGAGGGACTGGTGACCTTGGACCGTCGTCCGGTTTTCAAGACACTATACGGAAGTGCTGCTTGTGGTTTCATGCGCCGTTCTGGGTCCCGAACAAGACGCCGTGCCACGAAGCCGACAAAATCATCATCCTGGCATCAAAGAACTCGAGGAAGGTTTTTCGTACCAGGTCCTCTTCTCTGACCCTTGAAGTTGACCACGGATCGTGGTGCTCCACTGTTATCTATACACACAAGAAAAGGGTTTGAACTGCGATGACAACGTAGATTCCATTGTTCAAACTTACCGAAAAGGAGCCTCTTCGGTGGGTTGCGGTCAATGACTTCTTGATTTGGAGGACCAAGAACCTCCATCATACAAGATAATTGTTCCTGCTCGTTCTCGCCAGGGAAGATCGGGAATCCCGTGTACAATTCGGCGAGGATGCACCCTGGGTTCCACATGTCGATGGCCACATGGTAGTTGATGCCGAGGATGACCTCCAGTGAAGGGTAGCACTGACTTTGGGTGTACGTATAAACTAGGCAAAGAAGAGTGAGATAACAGTGAACCTCCTGAATTGATGGAACCCAAGCTCACTCTTCTCGTGCTCGAAGCAAGTACTGCCAAAGTCGATCACCTTGATCGCGCTCTTCGGCGGGTGTTTGAGCAGAACATCCTTTGAGAAGGATGGCCTGAGTTAACAGAACAATGCACTGATGTCTGGGTACGTTAACTCGGGCTCAAGGCCGCAGCGAACGATTCTATGATTATGATCCCACATCAAGTACGATGACATGGTCATCTGGCTCGTGAAACGCCGTATCAAGGTGGTGGTGAAGCCCGACAAGTCTGTTCGCCTTGATCAACTCGTACAAGTTAATGCTCAGCAGCTCCATTGCGATGCACAAGTGGCTGCAGAAGTAGAAATGCTCTGTCATCTTGACGACGTGGTTTTCTCCTTTTGGTCCTATTCCAAAAAAAAAACCGTCTCGGTGAGGGAAAATGAAAGGGAAGGTAGAAAAACTGCGGTTGAAACACACATACCTATTTGCGTAGATTGTCCAAAATCGTGATTTCGACCAAATCCTGGTGATGGAAGCGTTTCTTATTTCGAATTAGCTTGATCGCGACAGATTCACCAGTTCGGTGATCTCGACAGTTCAACACCTGACCGAAAGATCCATTGCCTAGGGCATCCACGACTTCATATCGATACGCCAGGTGGTCACTGCGCACTACTAGATAGATGTCCGGATCAGCTTGCTTCTTCTGACTTCCAGTACCAATGAAATAAACTAGAGAATGATGGAACATCTCTTCACGTGCGTAGGGACACAGGTGCCGAGCCTGTGGGCTGTGCAGCAGTTCTGCAACAAGTCGAGGTAAGGGGGACGAGAAGCGGGTAAAGACCACACAGTACAACTCACCTTGTGGCGTCATTCCGGGTGTGGGAGAAATCGGGTCTTGGATTTCAATATCTCATCCAACTCTTCGTGCGTTGCTCCATGTGCCATCTTTACCTGCTGACGACTGATGTATTGCTTCATCTCTTCATCACCTAGGAACTCCTCTTCCACCGCCTCAGGAACCGGGGACGGCGTCGATAGTGACTGACGGCTTGACGATGGACTCCGCTGCACGATGCTGATGATGGGAGGAGCAGCCACCCGCTAAAGAAATCTTAGGGCTCAAGAGTTTCAGGCTCTTGGGGGGAGAGTGCTGAGAACCTTGGGGGAAGGTGCGATGATTCGTTGAGCGGAGGCGCTGGCGCGCAGATTGACGCCTGGAGACTGGCTGGCCATCCGCTTCCGCAACTTGTTGCCACTTTGAGCATCTCCGTTTTCCAAGACGCCAAATTCGTCCGTCACTGCGTCAGCATGTATCGGTGACGAGTTTGCAGAGGGAGCAGTCATGTTCAGGCTGACGCGTCTGCTAACTAGTGTGTCCCACCCGGAACGCAGTCCTGGTGAACCAGCTGCACATGTACGACCCGAGATACGAGGTATCTTGGCTGGGGGTTTCTTTGGCAATGCCCAAACATATTGAGGAGAGCAGAGGGTGGATGATCCTTGGGCTCTTTTGACGCGCTATGACTAGTCGTACCAACTGGAGGCAAGTCGGCAATCGTGGGCACCTGATCGGTGGTTCGCAGCGACTGTTTCTCCATCGAGCTCACGGTTTGGGACCTGATACGAGAGGACGGCGGAGTCATCGTGATGGCAGAAGCAGCTGTAGGTACCGAGTTGTTCTCTAGATTGGCGACACGCTGCGCGGTAGTAGCAGGAAGCGCGGACATCTGCTTTGGTGCAAAGCCACAGCCGGAGCCTTCTTCGGGTCCGCGGAAGAGAGCGTCTGCAAAATGATAGTTTGTTACACATGGATATCCAAAGGAGGATCAATCAAGTACGCTGTTACTTGCCTTGTCCTTTTTCCTGCCCATCAGTACCGATGTCCTACTCTCGCTCCGATCCTCGAGACCTTGCATCGCCCTCGCCTTTTCTCCTTCCCTCGTTTTGTGATTACCACTACTTTCTCTCGTCCCTTTGGCCGTCCCAGTGTCACTCATATCGCCGTGCAAACTCCTTTTCGAACTTGAACCCTTGAGAAACGAAGGTCACCCTAAACTCAGAACTGATGTCTTCTCCTGAGATGTGCTTGGTGTGGTCGGGGAAGGCCTAGAAAATGATTCTTTGATGGGCGAGCTATTTGCTACTTTGATACGGCTTTATCCGGACAGGACGACTGGAGCCATCGACATCGTTGGTGTTACTGGGACCGCGGCAGCGTTTGACATTGATATTTGCACAATGTGTGGAGATGACCGGCGGAAGAATGGGATGGAGGAGGGTGTGAGGCGTTTCGACTGGTTACGTCTGAACGAAGGGACAGGGCTGGGTGACGCATTCACGTTGGCGTTGAACGCGGTGGTATTGCTGATACTGGAACCAGTTCCTGGACAACTTACAACCCCCCCCCCCCTATCTTGCGATCGGGTGTCTTTCTAGACTGCAGGGAGGCGAGCCAGGCATTCGAGGGGACCCGACAGAAGAGAGCGACGCGAAAGAGGCGGCAGAGCCGATGGCTTCTGGTTAAATCGGTGACCAAACAGTTTTGTTCGACGCAGAACAGGCAAAGGCTTACCCCTTTCGCAACTGCTGACTGAAACTTTGTATGGAGCGCGGGCTCAGCGGGAAGCTCGATGTCTCCTTGTCTCCCACTCTCATGGACACAACCAAGGGCGAACTCGTCAACTGGATATTCAGCACGTTAGAAAACTCCATTTCTTCGAGGGTGTCTAGTGAACGGAAGGTGCAGTCTCAAGTGCAGCAGTGAAACCCATGATTTGTTGATTCGTGCGAATGAACATCATAGGATTTGGATGACGGTGGGTTCTCCAGGGATACTATACGCTCGATACTGCCCTCATCGCCAGCAGCGAGAGGAAATGCAACATCGTGGAAAGACTGAGGTGGGACAGGGCGCACACAGTCCTCCTCCAACGCCTCAGCTCCACTTGCCAGAAAGCCCGTGCGATCCTTCACAGTACCGTCACCACCCGAGTAGACACCCAAGATATCGCTCCCCGCACTGTTCCGTCGACCTTAGCCTACACCAGTGGAGTGTCTACATGAGATAGCAAAGACGGATGTCGCACTTGTTGCAGTTGATAACGATGCCGAGTTACGCGAACTCGTGGGGGTGCCTGTATGTCGTAGAGGATGCAGAGCCGCGCTTGGGCATGGAGCTAATACCAGCACTGATAGACTTTTCAGGGGTCCTGTCGGGGCCCAACAACGCTTGATGCATGTCGCCACTCGTGGCTGCAGAGGTGTGCGCATCGCCAGTGTCGTGTCCAACATCTACTAAGCCAGATCTGCCATGGTCCTTTCTCTATCCTTCCTTTGAGCTTCCTTGCGACTGACTTCCCCACTGCACTCATTAACGCCACTCTTCCAATGGACACGATCTGCGATGCTTCCAAGCGTACCACGGCGGCTGATGCGGTTGAGACTGCCGATGGTGGGTGGCGTCGTTCATGCTTGACCAACCTTCCTGCGTCCCGTCGTCCGAGGTGCGCGTTCGCGCCTCGCCAAGTGGAGTGAATGCGCTTGAAGGGGATGATGAGGTGGGCGAATCGCTGAGCAGGACGTGCTCGCTCGGGAGGGGGGTACGAGTGGCGAGAGAAGGTGAGGAAGGCTTGACTGCGTCCGACAGGTGTTTTGCGCGAGTGGAAGATTTCTTCTCCGCCGCTCTCTTCTGCAATAGAGCGACGGGTGCGGATGTCCACAATGGTCGTCATCAATATCACCAATGGAAGTAGTTCATAGCACGTCGGTTCGTGGATCAGATCTTGACCCCGTGATTGCGCAGGCGCCTTGATCAGGTCACTGATCGTTAACACACCCCGCGCTAATGCTAGGGTAAGTTAGCAAAGAGACATGTTCCTTGTGGATTTCCCAACTGCACGGCAGAGTATTGTGGAAGAATGTTTTTGGAAGCCAGATCCCCGAAGGGGGAGCTGGGAAAGCTCCACTGTGCTGCGGTGTCTGGCGTGGAGGACGGGGCACAGAAACACAAAGCTGCTGAGAAGATCAGTAGTAGGTTTCACCAGGAACACAACTATACCTATCGAGCTGGCTTGGTACCGCAGAGTATGGGATGAACCCGTTGCCGCATCGCTATGAGCAATCGAGAATGGTAGTAAGGAAAAACCGATGGTTGAGTCTTTCCCTCACAGATGCATCACAGGCAGGCGGTCAGACGACGAGAAGAAATGGGGCGGTTCAACAGGAACTTGGTGATCGTAGTTTACATGTGGGTCGGGCTGTACAGTGCAGATAGGCGCGTGGATATTCGACTCCGCAGTCCCTTGCCCTTCGCACTTCACCACCATCGTCCCCTACAGTCGTAGCACACTTACTGCTTAAGATATCCTAAAACCTGTTTTCTTATCATGGCGCCGAACTCTCTTCGTTCCTGGTGGCGTTCGCTGCGGCGTTCCCAACCTCCGAGTGGCAATGCTGGTATATTACTCCCCACTGAAGCCACACATTCAGTTTCCCCGCATGCAGTCGTCCCTACGCCGGCTTCAGACTATCGCTTAGATCCTACAGAGGCTAAAATGCAGATTGATCGCATCCCTCATTTTCGCATTCTTGTCATGGGCAGAGCAAATGCGGGTAAAACAACTATTTTACAGCGGGTCTGTAACACTACGGATCAGCCTGAGATCTTCGATGGAAACGGAGTGAAGGTATGTGCGTGCGCTATGGGCTTCATGTTTGTCAACCTGTCATTCTGCCAGGTTAATTCTGGGGTGGTGCAGGGTTCACTATCGGTAAGGTCACTATATGAAATTAAATGGGGCTCACATCAAACTTGTGCAGCGTGGTGTCCATATCATTGAGGATGAGCTGGTGTTTCAAAGTAACCAACAGTTTGTGTTCCATGACTCGTGTGGATTCGAGGCAGGGGAGGAGGCAGAGTTTGATAAGATGAAGAAATTTGTCACAGAACATGCCAAGGCCACCAAACTGGAGAAGAGAATACATGCAATTTGGTAAGGACCTGACTGAGTCACACCACTGGAAGTCCACTGACATGCTTGTACTTGATTTAGGTATTGCATTCCTTTGAATGAAATGCATAGGATGGTCACAGCTGCTGAAATGAAGTTCTTTAATGAGTGTGATTCAGGGCATGGTATGTGATCACAAATATCACATCATATTTGGTGCATGGATTTAGGCTTTGCACAGTTCCTGTGATTGTGCTACTAACAAAGGCAGACACTTTGAGTCTTGATGCATTTCAGGAGCTTAAGAAAAAGGGGTCAACTGTAGATGATGCAAGGAAAAGGGCTCCAGAAGTAGGAAAGGAGGTACAAAAGTGCTGCCTGGACAAGGTCAAGGATTGGCTGGATAAACTGGAGTTTCCACCTCAAAACTACCTGGTGCTTACCAGTAAGTAAGCTATGGATTAATACCCTTCCAGTAGCAAATTGTCTCTCCAGGTATGCAACAGAAGGGTGCAGATTGTGAAGAGCTGTTGAAATGCACAGCAAGTGCATTGACAGAGGAAGGACTGCAAGGGCTGCTTATATCTTCACAGCAGTCAAACCTGGGACTGTGCATGGAATTTGCCATAATGAAGTGAGTGGCACAAATCAAGATGTAGAGGGTACTGACTAGAGAAAGGACATTGAAGAGGATCTTGAACAATGTGGCTCACCAAATTGAATTGGACACCATAGCAAATGCCCTTGCAACATGGTTCCCATTTGTAAGCAACCAGTGCTTTGGGTGAATAAGAGGCTGATTAAGTTATAGAAAGTGTGTGAAATTCTGCAAGTACAAGTATAACTGATGCTGAATGTGATTGTTGCTGTTGTTTTTGGAATGGAATTGATAGTATGTAAGTTGACTGAGGGAAGATGGTATTGGATGCATGATGACCATGTTCAATCCCACTGTGTTGGACTGGGGTTCATAGAGAGTGAGTGGAGTCATGGCTGATGGTAGTGGATGCATGCTGACATGTTCAACTCCAAACTGTTGGACTGGGGTTCAAAGTTAGTGAGTGGAGTCATAGCTGATGGTGGTGGATGCATGCTGACATGTTCACCTCACACCCTGTTGCTCTGGGGTTCATAGAGAGTGAGTGGAGTCATGGCAGATGGTAGTGGATGTATGCTGACATGTTCACTCCAACTCTGTTGCATTGGGGTTCATAGGATGTGAGTGGAGTCATTGGAAATGGAGGTGGAGACAGAGATGCATGCATGCTGACATGTTCACACCACCCTGTTGCACTGGGGTTCATAGGATGTGAGTGGGGTCATTGCAGGTGTTGGTGGATGCATGGTGACATGTTCACTCACACCCTGTTGTCCTGGGGTTCATAGTATGTGAGTGGAGTCATGGCAAATGGTGATGGATGCATGTTGACATGTTTACTCCCACCCTGTTGACTGGGGTTCATAGATAGTGAGTGGAGTCATGGCAGATGGTTGTGGT